GCACAAATACCCTGTAGCAAAAATATTTCTTAAAAAAATAAAAAAGAAAGAAAGAAAAGAAAAGAGGAAGTGGACTTTAGATAATAGCTACATGGTAGTCTGTGATTTATTGTCCCACTCTTTGTGGGGTCAGCAGACCATATGTTCTGTACTTTTTGCTAGAATGTAGCTAGCAAATAGAAACCATTGTCCTTAGTTATAGTTATTTTGAGCCCTAATGCAGCTGGCTCTCTGTTTGTTAAAGCTTAGCTACTATGGGGACCAGCAGGTAGCACAGCAATTACATCACCGAACTCTCACATGGCTGTCCGCAGTTTAAGTCCTGAACCCTGTGGCTTGAAACTCACATTGGGGGCATGTGTGGGCATACCCAAAATCCTAGAAGGAGAATGGAGGAGAAGAGATTGTGGCATGGTCATTCCCTCTGGGGGGTGATTTATCACTTTCTCTCTCACTGTCTCTGTCTCACTCTCCAGTGAGTGCACACACCCTAAGGCAAAAACAAAAACAAAAACTCAGCTACTATGACTCCACCTTGGACCTTTACCCTGTCTGTAGGTTTAATATCCCCATCTCCCACCTTAATTATAAGCTACTGAGGATTTTCATGGCACTCTGTATGTCCTTGACTGCAATCAACATACAGCTCAGGGGCAATCAGAAAAATGTCCACTGCTCGTTCCACCACTACTTACACCATCCCTGCTTAATTTTTCCCAAAGCACGCATCATCAGTTACTGTCAGTTGCATTGTAGTTGGCCGGCTCCTCTAGGCATAAAGATAGGGATCTCTGTGCCTAAAAACAGCATAAGAAGCATCCCATAAATATTTCTTTTTTTTTTTCCTTTTTCTTTTTTTTCTGGAGAGGTTTTTGCTATAGGGCATGTGCACTTGCCAGAAAGACAGAGAGAGAAGAGACAGAGAGGTAGAAAGTGAGAAATCACCCCCCGGAGGGATGGCCACACCGCAATTCCTTCTCTATTCTCCTTTCGGGATCTTGGGCACGCACGCACACATGCCCGGCATGAGTTTAAGCCACCAGGTCCAGGACTTGAACCACATTCGACTACATGGGAGTCCAGTGACATAGCCATTACACTAACTGCTGGTCCCATAAATATTTTTTGAAGAAAAACCTGATGAATAGAAAGCTAACACTTACCGAGTACCTACTACGTGTCAGATATGCAAGCACTTTTGCGTATGTTTTTTCATCTTTGCAACAACTCAATGAGGGAGATAACAGTATTACGTTTATTTTACAGACAAGGCAGCTGAGAGTTAGAAAGGTGATATGGGAGGTTTTTCAAAACCACAGAGTCAGAGTGTGGTTGTGCCAAGATTCAGACCTTAGCCGTCTCACTGCAAGGTCAGCGCTCCTAAGTACTCGTGTTTTATTGCAGATTAAAGTCATTACATGAAATATCCTACACTACTATTCTGTATCACAGATGGGACATCCTGACCTCAGAGTTCTTTCTTTTTCAGAGCTGAATTTTTTGTTAGTCTAACAGATTGAGAGATAAACGGATCTGTTACACACACACACCCTTTCTTTTTTCCTTTCTCTTTCACATCATTTCTTCTTACAGCAAAATCATAATAAGATTTGGAACACTGGGCCTTAAACTATTTGATGAGAACAAGTTACTCCTTGAAACTACAAGGCATTACTCACTTTCCTCCACCCCTACACAGATACTATCCACTGGATGGAAAGTCAGGTTGGAAAAACCCAGTTGTTGCAATTGAGCATTCACAGCATGTCTGGAGTATAAACTGAGGAGCCCGGCACACACTCAGAATGATGCATTGCACCTGCAAGCCTGCAGCAGCGCATTCATTTCTCATTCATGGGGAGAGTGGGACACTTCTGCAAAGAATGGGTCTGGGGCAGGCAACTGAAGATTGACCAAAAGCAAGGAAGTTGTCAACCTGAAAGGACAGACTCACCTTCTAAAATAGAGTTGTCACCTCCTCCCACGCTGTAGCTGAGATGCTGCTGCCAAGGAGATAAATGTGGGTGCCTAAATCACCAAGCAGAAAAAACAAAATCATTTGTGCCAAATCTGCTTTAACCTCTACATTTCTATAAATGCCAACCACTTGTGTGCTAAGCAGTCATCCCTTACTTGTTTGTATTAGTGAGATTATTGAACGTTCAAATGCAATGAACTATTTCTCTCTCCTCTGAAGTACCAGTGGTGCTTCAAATGTCTACTTTAAGGTACTAAAGGTTTCTGATAAAAATTTCCTTATTTGGTTTGCATGGCCAGGAAGGAAGGAAGGGGAAAAAGAAAAGGGAAAGAGAAGTAGAAAGGGAGAAAGGAAGGAAGGAAAGAAAGGAAGGAAGGAATTGAGGGAGAGAGGGAGGGAATCAAACTAGAGATATCGTATCCCTGGGATTGTATTTCAAGAGCAGCAGTCATGTTCTCTAAGGAGCATAATGTCAGGTTATTATCAGCGCTGAATCAGCAAGAGCTATGACATTTTTGAGTCACTCGACAGAACCAAAGACTCAAAAGTAGGGTCCCAAAGCATCTGGGATACACCAAGTCTGTTCATAGAGTATTCAAGTGAGACCTCGGGGCATGGACAAGAATAATCTGGGATGCTGCCTTAAATGTGGATTCCTGGATTTCCCCCCTATGTCTATGAGAACAGAATTCCTGAGGGCTGTGCATGCCAACAATATCCCCTAGACATTCTGACCTCATCCTTCAGTGGACAACTGGCCTAGTGAGCACAGCTCTAGATTCCTGAGCCTACAATGGGGATCAAGAGGTTTAACCTATTCTGTACTCTTTTTCATAGCTGTGATTTCTCTCATTGTGCTAGTTTAAAACCACCTATTTAGGAGCTAGTAGAGAAGTTATTAAGAGCTTGGGATACATAAATCAGGAGAGCTAGGTTCAAATCTGACACTTAGGAGTTAAGGTAACCTTGGAAAAGTTACTCAGTTCTTTGAACCTTAGCCAATTCATGTTAGATGGAGAGTAATAACTACCTCTCAGTGTTGACAAAGGAATTAATTGTAATAATGCCTGTAAGGTGTTTAGAACAGTGATTGGTATGGAACAGGGCAATAATAGGGTGGTGGTGGTGGTGACATTGAGGCCCAGAGCAGAAAGAGGGAGTCTGACAGAACCAGGAGTAATTCTGGTCTTTGAAATCCGAGAACTTGGCAAAATGAGACAACAAAGGGAATGGGTAAATTCTTGTGTGCAAGTTCTATGTCGGGATCAAGGGAGCCCCTTAGTTTCAGGGTCTCAGCCAACTGCATCCCTTGGATCACTTCCAGCCTGCCATCTGTTTGTAAATAAAGTTTTATTGGCACGTAGCCACATCCCTTTGTTTATTTATTGTCTATGGCTACTTTCAAGCTACGATGGCAAGAGCTGAGTAGTGGCGACAAAGACCATCTGGCCTACAGAACCGAAAATATTTACTAGCTGGTCGTTTCGAGAAAAAGTTTGCTGATTTCTACTCTATTGAGCTGCAGAGAGAGATTTTTGTTTTATGCACAAAGAGGGTCCCAAGAAAAAAAATAAAGAAATCGAATGCTGAGGAGGGCAACGCTGCCAGTGGTGTCATCTTATGCTGCCCAGAAACATTCCACATGCACACACACCCTCCGCACACGCACTACACCCCCACACATACACTACGCCCTCCACACATGCACTACACCCCTTCACACACACACTACACCTCCACACACGCACTACACCTCCACACATGCACTACACCCCTCTGCACATGCACTACACCACTCCACACACACTAAACCCCTCTTCCACAAGCTCCATGCACTCATGAGAATGCAGTATTTCCCCTATGCTGTCCTTCTAAGGGTTTCTCAGGATATCCATCCCTTAGCTTGGCCAAGGAGAATGCGCCCAAGAATGGAAGCAGAGGGACCAGCAGATGGTGTAATAGTTACATTGCTGAACTCCCACGTAGCTGACCATGGTTTGAGTCCTGGACCTGGCAGCTTAAAACTCTTGCTGGTGCGTGTGTGTGCATACCCAAAATCCCTAAAGGAGAAAGGAGGAGAAGGGATTGTGGTATGGCCATCCACCTGGGGGGTGATTTCTTGTTTTCTGTCTCTCTGTCTGTCTCTGTCTGGTGAGCGCACGTGCCCTATAGAAAAAATCTCTTAAAAAAAAAAAGGAATCTAAGTAGACTTAGATCCAGTCCTGGTCCTGCTACTAACCAACCAGCTCTGTGACCTTGGTAGGGTCACTTTATCTGTCTGAGCCTCAAGGTCCCCATCTGTCAAATGAGGAGGCTGGACTTATTTAGCCTATTTGTCAATGTTACACGTATCCTAAGAATAGGTCTCCCAGGAAGGGGTTACTGAGTACCTTCTTGTCTCAAAAGGCTTCTTTGGCAGATGGAGATTGGGAAGCAGTGGTAGGCACTGAAAGTGACACTGTGGCTATCCCCCAATCTCTTTCAGTTCCATCTCAATTTCTTTTAGCCTGAGGAATGGTTGTTTTTATGACAAACAATTTTAAAAATAAGCATTCTGATTCTAACTTCTTAGTATTATACAAATCAAATCTAGCTTGAGTTTTGAGGTTGGTCAGATCTGAGGTCAAAAGTCTGTTCTAGCTCTAGCTGTGTAATCTTAGCCACGTTACCTAACCCTTCCAACGGATGCTTTATCTACAAAGTCAGAACAACATCCATAATTTACCAGGTCATTATAAACATTAAATCCAAATCTAGCTCATAGTGCCATGTAATGTAACAAACATAGCTTGTGAAGAGGTAGTTTCATTAGTTATCTTATGGTTCATAATAGATTATCCTAAAATGTAGTGGGTTAAAACAACAATTATTTATTATTTCATACTTTCTTGGGTCAGGAATCTGTGCATGGCTACCTGTGCATGGTTGCCTCTGGTTTTTAAGTTTTCTTACAAGGCTAATGTATTGGTCAGGTCTGCAGTCTCATCTGAAATCTTGGCTTGGGAGTATCCACTCACCTGTATGGTTGTTGGTAGGATTCTAGTTTTCACTGTACTGAGGGCCTCATTTTCCTCTTTCTCTCTCAGTTCCTTGTCATGTTGACCTCTCCATAGGGTGGCTCAAAACACGGCAGTTAGCTTCCCACTGAAGAAATAAGAGAAATAATGTCTGAGACAGAAACTATAGTCTTTCTGTAATTGAATCTTGAAAGTGACATTCTCTCACCTTAAGCCACATCCTATTCATTAGAAATGAGTCACTACGTCTAGCACACACTTGAGGGGGTTGGCATTTCAGGGGCACAAAGTTCAGGAGGTGCGAATCACTGGATGCTGTCTTCAAGGCTGCTGACCACAGCAGGAGAAAGTGTGAAGAGTAGCGAAAACATGCTCTGGAATAAGAGTACAATCAATCCTTATTATTCACAGATTCATATTTGTGAATTTCTCTACTTGCTAAAATGTATTTGTAACTCCGAAATCAATACTCAGGCACTTTTGCAGGCATTCTCAGAGCAGTGAAAAATTTGAGCTGCTCAATATGCACCTTCCTAGCTGTGGGGAGACAGAAAGGTGACCTTCTGGCCCTCTGCCTTCTTGATTTGTTTGTCAGACTGTGAACAGGTGTCCCTTTTGCAGTCTACTTAGTGCCATGAGTTTCTCATTTTTGTGCTTTTTGTTGTTGTCGTTGTGTGTGTGTGTGTGTGTGTGTGTGTGTGTGTTTAAAATAACCTCTCATTGTAGGGCTGAGCTCTGCCTAGCAACCCTAAGCACAAGAGGGCTGTGATGTGTATCTTCCAGAAAAATACAACGGTTAGAGACACTTCATGGAAGCATGAGTCATAGTGCTCTTGGCTGAATTCAATGCTACTGAATCCAGGTATATACTAAAATGTTTTAAAATAAAACACTTACAACAAAGTTATGTATTGATTAGCTAATGAAAGCGTTGTCATCAGAAACATGTAGGAACTTAATCCTCTATCTCCCCTAGGAGCAATGGTGTAGTATCTGCTAATTCAATGCTTGTAGCCACTTTATAGAACATACTTGCTGTGAATAATGAGGCTGACTGTACTGGGGTTTGAAACTCAGTTCTCTCACCTGCCCTGCTGTGTCATCCTGGGAAATCTTCTTAACCTCCTGGCATTTTATTTTCATTAAAAGCAAAGTGGAGGATAATGATAGTAACCACAATGATGGCTTTGAGGAGGAAAAAACAAAGGCTCTCAACATGGCAACCAGCACACAGTAATGCTTAATAATGGAAGACATTATTATGATTATTGTTGTCTGAGTTTCATTTAATCTGGATGGCAACAAATTTTTTAGACATTTCCCTTCTATTCTGGGACAGTGCTGGGTACCAAGTTGACACTCATGAACTACATTCTGGGTAAAATAGTAATTTCTGAACAAGTGGAAGATCTCCAGCCAGAGAGAGCTAATTCCTCTGTGCCTGGTCTCTGAGTCTGATATCATCTTTGTGGCTGGTGGGGTTGGGAGTGGACTGCGTGAAGCATTATAAAAACCCTCTCAGAATTCACATCCAGACACTAAATCCATCGTATTGACGAACTGTTGACTCACTTCCCCCAGGAACCCAGAGAATGCCTGGCAGATGGGAATGTACCCACGACACAGCAGCCGTGGTATTTTTTGCCATGTCATCAGGCGCAAGACCAGAAGTGGATTTGGCCCTAGTACACAATGGGATCAATCATCTGTAAATAAGTCGCCTACATTATCTCAGAGACGATTTTTCATCTCTAAATGCCGAGTCATCACCGTAAGAGCTGGGTATAGCATTTATATGGTTTTTGGGTTTGGAATCTGACCTTGCTTTTGCAAGTTGCTCTCCAAGCTGAAGGCCCCATCTTCTCCCAGAATGGAGAGCATTTGGGAGCTCACCAACACAGACCGTGATAGGGGAGAGAATGCAGGTGCATTTCGAGTGCTGCCGCCATTAGCCCTCTCTCAGGAAGGCAGAAAAGTTATTGGGGAGTATTATTATGACCACAGCTAAAGCAGTATTGCACTATATCCTGCTTTATGAGGGCATTGTAATGAATCCATGTGATCTGGACCAGTTAACCTCTGTGAGATCATTGCTCTTATCTATGAAATAGTGCTTACTTTTGCAAAGCTTTGTGTTGACTCGCCCAGGTGAAGGAGAAACCTACATTTATTTCTGGTGGAGTTATAGCACCACCCACCCCTCTTCTCAGCATTAGTAATAACTACTAACAACTGATAACTTTTACTGAGCACTTACTATGTCCCAAGTATTGTCACATTTACTCTGCCCCAAGGAAGGCAAGCTAAAGCACAGAGATGTGAAGTAACTTGCCCAAGACCACACACCTAATAAGTGCAGAGCTGGGATTTATCCCTAGGTCATCTGACTTCGGGGCCTGTGCTAATCTCTAGCACCTCCTCTTTAAGATATCTTATTCAGCCAGGGCATCTTGGAGATAGCATTTCACCCTAAATACATAGTAGAAATTTCATGTGGTATATTTAGCTGGTGAGAGAGATATCACAGGAGTACAGGCTTCACATTGCGCCTCATCCACAATGATCTTATCTTCTTTTAAAAGTTGACCACCTGGGGACCAGCAGATGGTGTAATGGCTACGTCGCTGGACTCCCACGTCGTTGACTGTGGTTCGAGTCTCAGACCTGATGGCTTAAACTCATGCCGGGCATGTGTATGTGCATGGCCAAGATCCCCAGAGAAGAATGGAGGAGAAGGGATTGCGGCATGGCCATCCCCCTGGGAGGTGATTTCTCGCTTTCTGTCTCTCAGTCTCTCTCTGTCTTTCTGGCAAGCACACCCTATAGCAAAAAAAACTCTCAAAAATAAATAAATTAATTAATTAATTAAAAAAGAAACAAAACTTGACCACCTAAATCAGGAAATGGGAAGGTAGCCTTCCCATTTCTCCCTTCTCAGACATCCTTCAATCTCAAATAAAAAACTATGGCCAATTTTATGTATTAAGAGACTTTAGGGTGTTAGTGCTTAGGGATCTGAGGTATTGAGGTAAGCAAACCCCCGAACTCCACAGAGCTCCTCTCTATTCTTTTAGTAAAGCAGTATTTATCTATTATCTGTTTGAAGCGAAAGGCCAAACTCAGTTTCTGATGGGTTTGTTGTTGTTCTTCCAAACAACTTAGGAGCTCACTATTGAAACTCCCATTTTACAGATGAGAAAGGAAAACCAGAGCCGTGGGTGACCTCACACCATAATGACCAGTAATAGATGGAAGTGGGGTTTGTGTTCAGGTGGCCTGGCTTCAAGGCCACACCTTCCCTTCACCACGCTCAATACCAGAAGTCTTCCTTGATGCCACACGCCTGCTCCATATGCCAAGAGGCTTCATCAGCCTGGCTCTACTGAGTGGCAGCTGAAGCTGTCAGGCTGAATAAAAGGCTGTGTGTGGGAGATGGATGGAATGAAAACCTCTCTAGAGACAGAGAAGAGATGTGGCTTGGAACACCAGCTAACGTCTATCAGTGGTATGATGTGACTGGTGGTTTTAAGTTACCTTTTATCACACAGAGACATGAAACTGAAAAGGCTTATATACCAGGATTTCCACCTTGGTTGTAAACCACAGTTTTGAAGAATATTCTTTTTCCACTACAAAAAGGTCAATTTATAGGCCGACACCACAAAAAATCCCTTCAAACATGAAAACTTTTCAAGCAGTCATATCTTGAGCTAGAAACAACAGAGATCTAAGAGGGGGAAAAAACACATAGGATAGATTCTGGCACCCAGCTCTGGGGCAATTTGGTACCTATCGATTCAAGAATGGCCATACCAACACAGGCTGCTGAAAGTACTAATTAGAACATTGGAGGGTGATTTAGCAATACAAATCAAAGAGCCTAAACATGTACACAGCCTTTTAACCAACTATTCCACTTCTAGGACTGTATTCTCAAGGAAACCATCAAACATTTGCCCAAGTGAGATCATCACAGCAGTATTTTTAAAAGAAAAATAATAGAAGCAATCTAAATGCATAATAATAGGGGATGGGTGATATCAACCCACCATGGTAAACTAGGCTGATATTCAAAGTCTCATGACTTTTGCTCTTGATCCTGCCCCATCAAATCCTAGAGAAATTTCAAATCTATTTCTTCCCATGTCTACCTGACACAAACTTGGTCCAAATCTTCTCTTTTACATAATTTTAGGTGCCACATATCCTGACCTGTTCCCCTTGTGGACCAAATTCTTTTAAAAGGAAATCTGAAGAGCTAGCAGGTGGCATCATGGTAAAGGCACTAGATTCCCACATGGTGGACCACAATTCAAGTCCTGGAGCCACAGCTTGAAAATCATACTGGGTGTGTGTGTGTGCATGCATGCCCCAAATCCTAGGAATATAATGGAAAAGAAGGAATAGTGCCATGGCCATTTCCCTGGGGGGGCGGGGGTGATTTTTCACTTTTCTTCTCATTGTCTCTCTCCAGAAAGTGATATGCCCAATGGCAAAAACCTAAACAAACAAACAAACAAAAAAATAATGATTATGATAAAAGAAAATCTGATTAATTTCCTTACTTGCTTTCTTCTCAAAGCCTTGCCATTGAACTTTTGATGAAAGAACACTACACACCCAATTGGCAGGCCTTATTGCTGGGTCAGCAAACTTTTCTATTAAGGACCTGACTGTAAATATTTCAGGCTTTGTGAGTTGCACAGTATCAGTAGCCACTACCTCACCTTTGCCATCGCAGTGTGAAACCAATATAGACATTACATAAGTGAATGGGTGTGTTCCATTAAACCTTATTTATGTTTTAATAAAGCTTTATTTAAACATAGCTGGGTACTGGATTTGGGTCCCAGACTGGAGATTGCTGACACTTGTCCTGTAGAATCCAGTCTCGATTTTCCTCTCCAACTTCCACAAAGCCACTTTACCTACATATAGTCATAAAGTCTCCACTGAGATCTTTCAGGATCTCAGACAATCTGTTCTTTCCACCAGGAAACTTGTATTTTTTTCCTGCCCCAACACCTATCCCTCTTGGCCCGACACATTCCCCCATTTCCTGATCAGCGATTCCTCATCATTCTAGTCTTAGCTCAGGGATCCTTCCTTTAGCAGGTACTCCTTAAT